TTGGGTAAGGATGAGTGTAAAAGCACGAAGGGTGATGTCGTGCGTGATATTTGTGAGTGAGAGTTAATGCACGAAGGGTGATGTCGTGCCAATTTTGTAAATGTAAAAGCACGAAGGGTGATGTCATGTCATGATATAAGTGATAATGCACGAAGGATAATGTTGTGCCATGATTATGTGAGGTAAAATCATGAAGGGTGTTGTCGTGCCAATTATATTGATTCTTATGGTGAGAATGAGAGTAAAAGCACGAAGGGTGATGTCGTGCACTTGTGATTGTTTTCTTTATTCTTAGTTATAGTTGAATTTTGGTGCTCCGTATGCTTCTTTACTGAATTTATGTTTGTACATGATATTCCCCCGTGCATGTTTCCCCTTCCCATCTTTAACTGCTAGTTTCTATTGTTATTATTTTCTATAGATGATATAACTGCAAAGGTTTATTTGGTACTCTTGTCATAGCCTTGTCACTACTTCGCCGAGGTTAGGCTTGACACTTACCAGCACATAGGGTCGGTTATGCTGATACTACACTCTGCAATGTGTGCAGATCCCGGTGCTGGAGCTTTAGACCACGGTGAGGTTGCTACCTTCAGTCCATCAGGAGACCCGAGGTAGTCCTGCAGACGTCCGCAGGCCTTGGCGTCCCCTTCTATCTTTCCATTTTGTTTTTATGTATTTCAGAGATAGATTTGTATTATTTTCCTTCGGACTACTGTTTGTAGTATTCGTAGATAGTCCATGACATTGTGACACCAATTTTGGGTAGAGTTGTATTTTGGATTTCCATATCAGTATTTAGTAATATTATCAGATTTCATCTTCCACATTTATTTTATTATTATGGTTATTCCACTGTTGATCGCCTGTTAAATTTGATTGTTAAAAGATTAAGGAAAAAGGGTAATAAAATTGTAACTCTCGGCTTGCCTAGCTTTCATGAGTAGGCGCCATCACAACTCCCGAGGGTGGGAAATTCGGGTCGTGACAAAAAGGCATTAATGTCATGGAATAGTAAGAAAACAAGGATCAGTTGCTCTATCCACAAAAGAGGCCGAATATTTTGCCATTGGACAATGTTGTGCACAATTACTATGGATGTCTCATCAACTGGATGATTATGAACTATTTTTTAAACCTATTCAAATATTTTGTGATAATTCTAGTGCTATATGTCTTTCAAAGAATTTTGTGCATCATTCTAGGGCTAAGCATATAAACATCATTTCATTAGAGATCATGTCCTCAAGGGAGATATAGAATTATCATTTGTTGGCACCACTGACCAATTAGCAGATATTTTTACTAAGCCTTTACTTGAAGATAGATTTTGCTCCCTAAGAGAACTGCTTAGTATTATTTCTCTTGATCATAAAGATTAGGACCTATGTGTTAATTTTTATTCTTGTATGCCTAATGTTTTTAATTTTGTTTGTTTGTGTAAGTACGCATTAATTTAGCGCTTCCGATTTCCCTCTATTTTCCCATTAGTTGCAGATTTCAAGAAAGGAAAATCAATCATCATGACTCTTCATTGACACCCTTTCATTTCCTGCACTCAACCGTAATCCTCTGAACCACTCTTCTCTGTCTTCATTGTTCCTATTGCTCGGAAACCCTCCTAAAAAACCTTCAAACTCTTTCTCAAAAGTTCTCCATGACTAAAAACTCCAATAATTTGTCTGCCTCCACTAGAAGAAGTACTTGTTCGAAGGGAAAATCCTCTTTTCATCCCCCAGAACCAGTAGACCTAGGGTCTGACCACTCAGAAGGGTTTGCCTCTTCTAAGGCAAAACTATTAGACGAATCTCACCAAGTAAATGAAAAAGCCCTAGGAAAAAGGCCTATGGAAGAACCCCGTGAATCTCTTACCCTCCATGAAATCCAAAGTAGACCTCTCGAGTTCTCTAGAATTCGACCTCAATTTTTGGGATACCCCAAATAGGGATTTCTTTGTTGCTCTAAAAGACAAGCCCATTTCTCATGGCAGAATAGTCGACCTTGATGATATGGAGGACATCAATTGTAAGGTAAAGGATCTGTTTGTTTTTCAATGATGGTCAAAATTCCTCTTTGTACCCCCTCACAAAGTCTATGAGAATGTTTTATGCAAATCTTTGCTCTAGCAAGCCTGATAAGTTGGAATCCATTGTTGTAGGTAAATGTATTGTCCTTGATTGTGCCATGTTTGACCCAAGAATACTTGGCTGATGATTTTGAAATTTTTTTTATCAAGCAAAATGTTGCATTGTTGAGTGTCCATCTGATTTACTTCATAACCAATTAGGTCCCAGTGATGTTAGTTTTGAAACCCGTGTTCTGACCCACATTGTTGCAACCACTATTTGTCCTCGTACTGGATCATTCTTTACCTTCTCTTAACGAGATATCTTTCTTGTTTACTATCTACCAAACTCAAGGTTAAATAATCCTTTTGGGTCATAAATTTCATGATTGAAACTGATGATGATCCCACCAGTATCACTCACCTTTTAGAAGCCCACAACATCTTTATCTCAGAATACCCTTTTATCTCTGTTTCAAAATCCTACAATTCCAGAGCTTTTGCCAGTATGGGTTATGTGTGTGTGCAAAGGGTTCCTGGGTGAAGAAGCAGGAAAGTGAAGTCAAAAACACTCAGCCTGATCCCAAGACCAAAGCCTCTGGTTCCCATCACAGCGTAAGTGATCCTAATCTTGTTGAGAAACTGACTGCCATTGACAACAAGTTGACCATCATCAAGGACCTTCTTGCTGTAACTCAATCCTCTGTGACATCCATGTGATCTCCAAGGAGACTGGGTCCGATGTTTAAAAGATGAGGGTTAAACTTCTCAAACTTGGAGAAAATGCAGTCAAAGCGTTGAAGGGAGTACATGACAGGATTGATGGGGTGACAGTTTCAGCCAATGCCAGCTTTGAACGTTTGAAGAAGGCGATTTGCAACGCTCTTACTTACTTCTTATGTCGCTAGTTGTGGAAGTTTCAAATAATTTTTTTTGATGTTTTGCTGTTGTTGACTCAATAACTAGTCGCTAGATACTTTTCTCTATTTTTGCTAAACTTTGCATGCCTATAATGTTTGCTATAATGTCTATAATGTTTGCCTAGGATGTGATTGCCTTTAATTGTTTGCTTTAGTTACTATATATGTATATCCCCTCTTTGCTGATGTCAAAAAGGGGGAGAAAGAAGTGTATATTGTAGGAGTCGACTGAAGTATATTAAAGTTCTAGTTGAGGGGGAGTCGACTAACTATGCAGATGCACAGTCAACTAAATTATATGCATCACCTGTTGAGGGGGAGTCGACTAAAGTACGCATCACCCATTGAGGGGAGTCGACTACATGGAAGTTAATTGTTGTTTATATATATAATTTTTGTCCTTATCAAAAAGGGGAAGATTGTTAATTATAAGTTTCAATTATGGAAAATAATATATCACATTTAGTGCAGGATCACAAGGAATCAATTAAGGGATTCAAGAAGCAATACGAGTCAAGAGTAGATTAAGGAAATAATCTATTAGCGGGGGCTCTAAAAGCAACGCAAGGAGAAGAATCAATAATTAGCGATGTAAAAGGAAGAAGTAGCGGAATCCGAAAGAAGAATGAATCAGTGATTGATGGAAGCTATTATAGGAAGGTACCAAATCAAAGGGAAACAAGATCGCAAAAGGATGCACTGAAAATAGATGAAGCCAAAAAATCAAGGGATCCAGCAGATATGCCTCAAGTAACAAAAAGATATGCCTAGCAGATGGAAAGCTCGTCAAAACCATAAATCAAGGAAAATCAACGGAAACTTGACTTTATTCTTGGAAAGAATCAATCTATGATTCCTTTCAAGGACAAACTCCCTTAAGTTTGCAATCTCTCAAGATTCACGTCATTCAAGAGTCAAGAAGGCCTCATGGAATGTATATATACATATGTTCCGAACTTGAAGAAGACATACTTAGATCGAATCATTTTAACTCCTTTGTTCTACTCCAAACAAGCATTGTAGTTCTTATAGGTCTGTTGTGTAATTAGTGAGAGAAAAAAAAGAGATAAACACTGGTGAGGCATTGTATTAAGAAGAGAAAAGAGACATAGCGATTAAGTTGTTGGCATAAAGCTACATCAACCATTCTGTAACTAAAAAAACTTCGATCACTGAAAGAGAACACCCTTGCAACCCAAGGTGGGGTGGAGTAAGATTCACATTGAATGTGAACCAGTATAAAATTCTGGTGTCTTTATTTTCTGCATTTTATTTCTGCATTTACTAATATTCTGCTCTTATTTCTAGTCGACTAATTGATAAACTAGTCAACTACTTATAATAAATTTTTAAATAGACAATTTACCCCTCATGTACTTTCACAAAGTTGGCAATTGGCCTTTTACTGATGGTTTCAAATGCAGTGCTAAAAGGTAAAAACTAACATGTTAGCAAATTAAATCCAACTCAATTACCACCTAAAGATGTAATGAATGGTTGAAATTTATTAATTTATCAAAGTTTTGGTTTATCATGAAAATTGAGATGTTTTTGGTATGAATAGCTTAACCTCTTAAGACCAAATCTTGGCCAATTGGCCTATTACTGATGGCTTCAACTGCACGCTAAAAAGTAAAAATCGCAAGTATAAATTCAGTTTTAACTGTTTCCTTGGCTATTATTACGGCCTTCAAATTTATTTAATCAATGAATACTGAGTCAGAGTACACTCTTTTTCTTGGTAAAGTTAATTGCAAACCATATATTGCTGCCATTTTAGTATCTTTTTTTTTTCCACGCCAAAAACCTGTGAGAATAGACTCTGGACATAAAAAGTTCATTGGTGCATAATAGTTAAAGTGGTTTATATTCTTCCACATTGTGAATTTTTAAAAGGAATAATCATATTTTGATGCATGGAAGAATTAGGTCTTTTAGAGTTTTATATGTTAAATAATAGAGTATGCTAAAGTTCAGTAGTCTAATTGAAAACAATTTGCAGATCTCAAGCAGTATAAGTCAATGACAATAGGGTCACATCTCTAGTAGTACAAGTAAAAGACCAGACAATGTGGTAACAAACACCTAACTCCTTTTACCAAAAACAAGAGCTCCAGGAACTATATGTCATGACAGAGTTAATTTAAAACTCTTGGCAAGATATATCTTACATTTGATTTTTTACTTTACCGCAGTTGTACAGAAGTTGATGTTGTGTAATCACATTCGATGAATTGAGCTCGACTTACTATGTACTTTTAGCATTACAAGTTAATCAAGAAGACGTAGAATCCACTTGTCCCCTTGAATGAAATTTTGTACAGAGTATGAGTTGACATGCTCAGCTGGGATTTGGCTACTCCATGGCACTCGTCCTGCTGTATTAGCTCCAGCACCAGTATTTCTATATTCTCCATAGTAAAGTGTACTAAACGCGAAATCACCGTTCCAAGGCAACCACCCATCAGCTGAAACAAGAACCTCCAAAGTACATTGTATAAAGACGGTCCGCGAATACTCCTTCCATGGCCTTCCCAGATAATTTTTGTGCACCTCGGGATTCTTGTAGTACAAGGCCATGTATTTGTCTGTTCCATTGATCAGACAATTTTGGAAGACAAATCCAGTTGACTGTGCAGGGTCTATCCTGCCATGAGCCGTCACAGGATTCGTCTCTCCCTCTTCGGGATGGAATTGCCGAGGTGCGATTAGGATGTCACATTCTTGGAAGAAAGCAGCTGAGTTCCCAAAAATGAAGTCTACATTGCCTTGGATGCGGCAGCACTTGTAGTATTGGCGCAATGTATGGGCGTATATGGTGTCCTGATTGCCGATGAATTCACAGTTCTCTATAATTGAAAGATCACTGTCGGATCGAAATGCCACTGCTTGGTTGGCGTTTGGACCTGCTGTATTTTGGAAGGTGATACCGCTGGCCATGAATCCATCACCAGCAACTCCTGTTTTAGGAGTAATACAAACGTTAGAACTACTCAAAACTACGACAGTTCATCAAATAATATATCTGCAGCCAGAGACGGATCCTCAATTTAAGCTCTATGAGTTTATCTTTTAAAGTTTTTAGCATTGTACCTATTATATTTTTAAGTTATAGGTTCATATCTACTATTTTTGTAATTTTAATGAATTTTTACATATAAATTTTTACTCCGCGTCAAAAGTTATGGGTTCAATTGAACCAGTCATTAATAAGCTAGATACGCCCCTGACTGCAGCAGGCAATGGCGATCTGCAGATTTTACTCTCACTTTAGAATTTGTTTTCACTACTTCCAATATCATGCAACTTGAACAATAACATAGTAAGTCTTAAATACAACCAGACAAGAGATGTTCTTCAAGCAAGCCATCTCACTCTCTACTCTCTAGCAGTGTCAAAGCTTTAGTGAAGAATGATCACAATGGTTAAATTATGTTCATCACTTTAGAATTAGAACCAAAAAGGGACAGTTTTTATCTGATAATGGTTAATCACTTCTGTCAACTCTTAGAGGTACTACTGGTATCACTAAGTACTAATCAATATTTTAACATGGAAGAGAGGCCCTCTTTCAATCTCTATTTTGTTGTGCTTTCAAAATATATACAAGAATAATAGCTCTCATTCTCCGTGTAATACTGGATGCTAAAGTTTATGCCCTCCTCTGTGTAATTATCTTGGATAATTATATAGACAGGTAGGATTCCACCAACCCCCACCCAAAATCACCACAAATCAGTATAGCCTGGGTGTTGGCTTCAAAAAAATAAAAATAAAAATAAAGGGTTACACCAAATGCAATGATTTTGCACTTTGCACGTCCTACACCATCATGCTCTCTGTTGGGCATAGGCAGATTTATGACTTAAACTTTGATGTGTTCTAATCTACTAAGTTTTAATGAAATTTTAGTGAATTTTCACATAAAATATTTATGTTTCATGTTATCTAAAAAAAATGGGTTATCCCATGAGTTCAAGTGAACCCGTACCACAAAGGCTACATCGCCTTGCTGGTTGGAGCAAGCCCATAGGGACAATGGCTTTACCTCCTCTTTTCACGCTAACCATGTAAAATTAAGAAAAAATCTCACTTTATAATCATTAAGCTCAAACTATTTACCCTTAAATACCCAAATCTAAACTATTTACTTTTCCTACTTATGCAACCAAGACTATTTATCCGGCCCACAGCTATTTGCCTTCGCATTTGAACTACAGAATGTTAAAACATTTGACTTCATTTTTGCAAGCTTACTTGGTAGTGGATTTAAATGGATCTACTTCTCCTCTGCCAGATCGATCTTCATTAAGAGGGTCAACCCAAGCTATTGCTCTACCTCCTCTTTTTATGATTTTTATGTGTGTATGAAGACCCACCATTGTTGAGCTTGAAGCTCCAGAATTTGAAATTTTATTTTGAAAATTTATTATTTGATTCGATGTGGGTGCTATAAAATATTGCTTATAGTATCTTCGAGTAAGTTTCCCAGATCTAATTTTTTTTGTGTATTTGAATATCCACCATTGTTGGGCTTGAAGCTCAATTTTATTTTTGAAGATTTCTTGTTTGATTCAAAGTGGGTGCTGTTAAATATTGCTTATAGTACCTTTTGGAAGTTCATACTGAGATTTGATAGCATTTGGAGTTGATTTGAGGTGATTGAGATCGAAATTTTCAGCTGAAAATAGAAGAAGAATACAGCTACCCAATAGTATACCGCTACGACATACAATATGTTGTAGGAATATATAGCTATACTGCAACAGTATACTATTATAGTTTACAATATACCGCAACGGTTATATTGTAATAATCGAAGAAAAACACAGTTATCTAACAGTATACCGTTATAGTATACAATATACTATAGAAGTATATTTATACTGCAACAGTATACTATTATAGTATACAATTTATTGTTATAGTATACTATAATAATATGCAATATACCATAATAGTATGCTGTAATAGTATACAATATACTATAATAGTATACTTATTACCCGTAAATTCACTTGCATTTTTCTTTTTAATTTGCTTTAAGCTTTTACCCAGCGTGAGGGCAAATTGAAAATGCAAAAAAAAAAAAAAAAAAAAAAAAAAAAAAAAAAAAAAATTACAGTATGCTATATAATGTAACGGTATACTCTTACAATTAGATCTTTTTAGAATTTTTTGAAATTTTTATTGACAGCTGATATTATTTCAGTTTAATAATTGAATTAATTTTTTTTAACTCTTTGCGTACAATTGTATACCCTGTTGGTATAGCTATATACTATACTGGTATCATATGTTAGTTAATATTTTTTGGTTGTATTAGCTACATTTAATTGGTACACAATTTGATTTTTCTTTAGTAATAGTATAAAAAAATAATAAAAAATAGTAAAAAAAGTAAATGAAATTAGATTATGAAGAGGAAAAGAATATAAAAAACAAGTTAAATGAAATTAGAAAAGGAAAAAAGAAAAAAAAAAAGAAGCATAGAAATAAAAAAGAATTGGAGAATAAAGAAAAAATTCCTCACAAAAATTATTATGGGTAAAAATGTAATTAGTTTATGGGTAGAAAAAATAAATGGATAGGTAAGGGTAAATAATTTTATTTTTGTGAATAACTGTGTCATTCTCCCTAAAATTAATGCCAATGGAGAAGTAAGAAAACTAACCGCGAAAGAAAATTTAGCCCTAAACAACTCGTGAACATCATCGGCGCTTGGAGATGCATTCATTCAGTGGCCAAGCAGCCAGAGTCATCGTTTTTTTTAAAGTATATCTCTGTTTATGCAGAAATTTACGCTTATTTTACAAAATAACACACACAAAAAAGAAGTCTAGCTACTATAGGAGCAATTCTGTCCAACCGTTACTTGGCTTGTTTCCAAAGATATTTTTAAAAAATCAAATTTTGTATAGTCCAAAATAGAGAAAAAGAATTTTGTTATTGAAACATAAAGATTTGTAATTATTAAAACTGATCCAATAAATCACTTACCGACAGTTGCAGTCTCATAAGTGTTGATGCCATTAATACCAACATTCAAGGAACCTGTAATGACAGTTTTGCCCATTCCATCACCCAAAAATACCACATTCTTCTTCTCAAACGGGACCCGAACAATCTCATCATACAACCCGGCTTTGATCCATATCACAAACTTCCGGGTCAGCCCATTATCCGGTGCAACATTCACCGCTTCCTGCACTGTCTTATAGTCACAGCCTCCTTCCTTACACACTGTAACATCCGGTTTCAACCCAGAAGGCACCCCACCCTTTACATCATGACCCGACCCGTCTAAATCCAAACCTTCCCAAAACCCGTCTCGTTCTGTTTTGGGCGGGGCCCATGACCCGGTATCGTCCCCGTAAATGTCGTAGTTCACCAGCATACCCAATGCGTTGCTGCTGTACCCGATCAACGAGTTCAAAAACGAGATGGTTTTGTCCACCTGGATGGTTTCGTTAACGCGTTTTGCAACGGACCAGCAGTCGTACTGGTAAATCATCACGGCGCTCATCCATGCACGTGCGTCCTTTATCTTGCCACGTGTCAACACCTGAGCCGTTAGCTCGATCCTATTATCTGCGTATCCTAGAACCTCAATACCGATCCTCACCAAGTCCGTAAGGTTCTGATTCCCTGCGGACGCGTCCATGATTGCATTCACCATGTCTATCGCCTCGGCGTTGTTTTGTGAAACGACTTTAACGGCGGATTGAATGATTAACGGTGTTGCCAGCTCAGACGGCAAGTTGCCGGAGACCGTTAACACGGACTCGCAAGTCGGTGGGTCCCGCGAGGCCTTGCAAGCTCCTTGGATCTCAGCCGCAATTGACGGCGTCGTAGATGACTCCGGCGAATTCCGCTGGTGGTGACGAGCACTGACGGAGGAGATTGAAAAGAAGAGAAGTATGGAGAGGACTGTTAGAGTAAAAAACGAAGCCATTGAAATGAAAAAGAAACTTAAAGTTTCGAAATGATGAGGTTTTTCCAGGTTTTCTGCTCTAGAGCATGGTGGTGCCGTTTTTATACAAAATAGCGTCTGTAAATATTCGCAAATATGCCGGAAAATTTGACAAGATATTTGAATTATAGTGGGAACACCTCTTCTGGATGATATCTTAATTTATACTCCCCTATTACAAGTTATGCGAATCTATTTCTGTTTTAGTTCGTACTAAAAAGAATAATTATTTTTTATATTTGAAAATGATTTAGTTTTATATAATGATTTATAACTACCCAAAATATATGTACATCATTTCAAAAGTCTCTCTTTTTTCTTAAGCTCTATGCCCAGTCAAATATGTTCACATAAATTGAAATGGAAGGAGTATTAAAATATGACGGAGTATGAAAACAAAAAAAATCCAATACATCAAGGCAGTGGCACAGCTAGAGAGATCAAAGTACGGGTTCGGCCTAACCTAATAAATTTAGTCCAAACTTTATATTTGTTTGAGTAAATAATTACTAAACCAATCAGTGATGAGTTAAAGAGTGAATCTTAGTTGAACCTAATAAATTCTAGACCGAGTAAATAGAGTACTTGTTTAACGAGTAGAGCTTAAGAGCATTAAATAGCGAATTTAATGTGTTTGGATTGACAATAAATATGATAGCACAAATGTGTAACGACTGTAAATAACGACAAGGAATGTACTAGGAAACAATTTACTACAGAATTATTATACGATTGGGATGATCCTTTTCTCTGATGGCGACGCAGAAAAGTCAGAAGTCAAGGTGGGTATGGAATCTTGAGATTTATGGATAAAGATTGAACAACATATGCTTGAATAAATCAATGAATAAGATAACTTCTTTGTATATTCTTCTGTCAACCTTTTACAATATTTTCTGGTCAAAAGAGCAGATCCCCTTTTGTTCCCTATCTTTTCCTATTTATAAGGGATATTTTCCAAAAATTCTAAAAAGTACAACACAAAGAATATCCAAAGGAATATTCGTTATATCCATCTCTGAACCTATGCTGCTGTTACTCTCTTATCTCGGCTGGCCGCTTCTGGCATCAACCTTTATACGGACGACGTTCGGTCGTTATATCATGGTCGACTCCATCCTTTGTCTTGCTTATCCGTTACCGTGGTTACCAAATTTGGACCTATACAGTTAGTCCCTCCGCTTGTTGAGGTCGTAGCTCTGCACGTCCTCGATAAGTGGACATTATTCATTTTTGTCGCGGGAGAAGTTGGCTATTAAATCATGTCGGGTCGACCAAGATCGAGAGAACGACACAACCAGCGGAGTCATGATTGGTATGGTTACCATGATGTGACGTCACTGCCACATGCATCATCATTACGCATCTTCCCGAGACAGCATCCGGGTGCTTGTCGTTTTGGTTTTGGTGCCATTGACAATCCTTCACTTCGATTCTCACACCATCCAGCCCTATAAATAGATGAGGGTTTCATTTTTTCAGAAGTTTCCGCCATTCTCCTCCTTGCATGAACATTATCTTTCTTCGATCCTCTTTACCAGTTCTTGTTATCAGCTTTGTTTTTGCGATTCCATTTCTCTCCTTCTTATTTAGTCATCACCTCTTTCTTTAGGTTTAGTAACACACTTCTCATCGTTGAGATGTCATGCATAAACCCTTCGCATACATGACGAAGTTTCCGACACCACTCCATTGTCGGCGGCTCCTCCTTCCGGTGGTGAGGATCTCTGTCACGACCCTAAACTTGGACCCGGTCATGATGGCGTCTCTCGTGAAGACAAGGCCAATCGACACGTTCTCAATTCAGTTTTAAGCAATTAAACAACAAGAATTAAGTCTAATACATAAAAAATAATCCAAAAGTAAGTAGTTAACAATACAGTTTGCGGAAAGTAACCCAACACAGCCCGATACCGGGGTGTCGCTAGTCATGAGCATCTATCAATACGCTACAAATCTGAAATGCCTACTAAACTATTGTAGAATAACCGATAAAGAGATATAAATAAGATAACGGGGGAGAAACATGGGACTGCGGACGCCAAACAGCTACCTTGTGGACTCCGAAGTCTGTCGGGAGCTCTCAACTCTCACTAGCAGGATCAGAAACGCCTGAATCTGCACATGGGGGCAGGGAGTAAAGTGAGTACTCCAACTCAGTGAGTAATAATCATAAATAAACGACTGAGAGATATCAAAACACGTAAGGCACATTACAGGCTATAATGAAACAGTAAAACCAGTAGAAACAGTAAATCAGTAAAGATATGTAAAATCATTTAAGTTCAGTTTAAACTTCATGAAATGCTTTTTCAACAATTAAACAGGTAAATGATAGACAATAAGAAAGATAAACACATAAAGGTTCGCCCCTCTAGCTCAATATCAACAAATTCTCCCCTCGGGCAATATCTTAGAACAATACCAGCCCCTCGGGCTATAACTCACATCACAATGGGCACCCGTGCTCACTTGGGGTGTGCAGACTCCTGGAGGATCCCCTTACGGCCCAAGCGCAATATCAAGCCATCTCGTGGCATCATCACTAGTCTCTCGGCCTCATATCAACAAGCCTCCTCGTGGCGTACATATCTCAGGCCCTCGACCTCATAATCATAATCAACGTTTCCTCACAATATAGGTCCTCGGCCTTACTCAGTCAAAATTCTCACAAGCCACTCGGGCAATAGCAAAACATGATTTTCAGCTCAAAATAAAATTTAAAAGATCATTTAAATGTTAAAATAGAGTAAACATGGCTGAGTTATGAAAACAGTGGAATATAGCATGACTGAGTTCAAGTATAAAGTCAAAACAGTGAGGGAATATCAATAAAAATCCCCTAAAGGTTCAAATAGTTGGCACGAGGCCCAAATATGGCATTCAGCCCAAAATATGATGATAGCAAATAAATTTCAGTCAAATACGCGGTAAAATAGTCATTCGGGACGGACTAAATCCCAATCTCCAACAGTGCACGACCCCACGCTCGTCATCAAGCATGTGTGTTACCTCAATATAGCACAACGATGTGCAATCCGAGGTTTCATACCCTCAGGACGTCATTTACAATCATTACTTACCTCAATCCAGTCCAAACTCTAGCCTGCAACGCCTTTGCCCCTCGAATAGACCTCCATTCGCGTCGAATCTAACCAAAATCAGAACCACGACGTTAAAATATGCTAAGGGAACGATGCCCAAGCAAAAATATTCAATTTACAACATAAATCCCGAAATTACCAAAACCCGACCCCTGGGCCCACGTCTCGGATTCCGATAAAATTCACATCAACGAATTCTTTATCACTTCCCGAGTTCATTCATACAAAAAGCATCAAAATCCAACCGCAAATGACCCCTCAAATCCCAATTTTTAGGTCTCCAATTTCAAGCCCTAGTTCTTCAATTTTAGGCTTAATTTCTATGATTAATTAGGTAGATTTCACATTAAAATCGAGTTTTAAGTCCATGAATCTTACCTCCAAGTGATTCCCCTTGAATCCTTCTTCAATCATCTTCAAAAAGCTCCAAAAACGCTCAATAATGGTGAAAATAAACCCCAAAATCACGGACAAGATGACTATTTAAACATTTTGCCCAGGTCTGAGATCCTTCTTCGCGAACGCGGTCAAAGCCTCGCGTTCGCGAAGCACAAAATAACTTTGACCAGAATTTCCTCTTCGCGATTGCGACCTGCCCATCGCGAACGCGATGCTTCCTCAAACTAACCCTCCGCGATCGCGTTACCTCTCTCGCGAACGCGATGAATAAAATCCCCTGAAGCTCAACTACCCACTTTCCTCTATGCGAACGCGACACCACCCCGCGACGCGATGCACAAACACTCAGCCCTTCGCAAATGTGGAGCCTTCCTCACGAACGTGAAGGTTTATATCCCAGCCTTCACCAACTGTCCCTTCACGAACGCGAGGGCCAACTCGCGAACGCGTAGGCCATTTCCTCTGCAACACTGATCAGCAATTTATGTAATTCCAAACATCATGGAATGGTCCGATTAACCACCCGAAACTCACTCGAGGCCCCCGGAACCTCAACCAAACATGCCAACATATCCCATAACCTCATTCAAACTTGTTCCAATCTTCAGAATGCTCAAAACAACATTAAAACACCAAATTCGCATCGGATTCAAGCCTAAGAATTCCAAAATATTTTAAATTACGCTTTTGATCAAAAACCCAACCAAACCACGTACGAATGACCTGAAATTTTGCACACACATCCCAAATAACACAACAGAACTACTACAACTCTCGGAATTCCATTCCGACCCCTATATAAAAATCTCACCTATCAACCAAAAATGCCAAAAGTCCAATTTCGCCAATTCAAGCCTAAATCTACTACAGACTTCCAAAACATTCCGATCACGCTCCTAAGTCCCAAATCATCTCCCGAAGCTATCCAAACCATCGGAACTCACATCCGAGCCCTCTAACACATAAGTCAACATCCGGATGACTTTTCTAACTTAAGCTTCCTCAAAAGAGACTAAGTGTCTCAAACCTTACCAAATCCTTTCCGAACCTGAGCCAACCAACCCGATCGTATATAAAACCGATAGACAAAGTAATACGAAGCATAAATGGGAGAAACGGAGTGGTAACTCATGAGACGACTGGTCGGGTCGTCACAATCTCACGGTTGAAGAGGGTAAGAGTTTTCCTACCGAAGAAGAGATACTTCCTAGAAATCCCTTGTCCAGAAGCGATTTCCACAAGGAGCCCGTTCCTTCTCCCATTCCGGTGATCTCCGAAACCGGGCCGTCTCATATAGCTGAACTCTGATCTACATACTGTTTGAGTAACTAATTACTAAACCAATAAGTGATGAGTTAAAGGGTGAATCTTAGTTGGACCTAATAAATTCTAGACCGAGTAAATAAAGCACTTGTTTAACGAGTAAAGCTTAAGAGCATTAAATAGCAAATTTAATGTGTTAGACTAACAATAAATATGATAGCACAAATGTGTAATGGCTGTAAATAAAGACAAGGAATGTACTAGGAAAGGATTTACCACCCAATTATCATACTATTGGGATGATCCTTTTCTCTGATGGCGACGCAGAAAAGTCAGAAGTCAAAGTGGGTATGGAATCTTGAGATTTATAGATAAAGATTGAACAATATATGC